GGAGGGGGTCACTAAGGGGCTGGGAAGTGACGCAATTGCCATACGCAGTTTATTCAATCACTCTTACCCAACCGCAGTACACCGCTGCCCTCTCGCGTTCCCTTTGCGCATCGTCCGTTTCCCGTCCACCTAACGCACACCACTTTCAAGTGCGGCGCCAACGATCCCATTGGTTAGCCGCTTGGCGGTTCAGGTTTACTCGCCCCGGCGGCCAATCACATCACGTCCCCGGCCAGCCCTCCTTTGATTGGTCATTGCCTACGCTTTTCCCTATTTGCGCGCCATCCTGCGGTATTTTTGACTTCATTAAAACAAACAATTATTTTTCTGCGATTTTCAACATTTTTTCGGCATCCAACTGCCAATTCAGTGCCCTTTGCCGTTTGCCCCGCCCGTTCTTCCCCTCAAAACCGCCATCCCGTTGTACCCGACCCACCTAGAGAGGATTTCTCACTGGGGCCGCCTGTAGGCAACCTTTAGGTCATCAGCATGCATAAAAGGCCTGTCATTTGGAATTACATCTGATTCATCTTTGACAAAAAGGCAAAGTACGATTGGATCAGGTACACTGTCCTGAAAAAACCCACTCTTCACGTCTGTGGGGTTGGCGATAATACTGGAATTTATAAGGCACTGTGTGCGACAGCCCAGAATGGAAGATGGTAAATTCGGAAGATTGTCATCCATTCCGAGAGAGGGAAACGTTCAGAGGGAAAGAAAACGGTTATCATGATAAAAAGCCTTAGTAAAATCATAACAGACCACGTTAAAGACGAAACCGTTGTCCCTAAACTGTAAAGCTTGAGAGCTGGTCGGGCTTTGAGGAATCTATGTCGAACTGCATTAACCGGGTTATTTTTTGTCAAGTGACACATCGCCGTATCGTCGATCAAAATGTCTAAGATCTTTGTAGCTGCTGGAAGGGTGATTATTGGGCAAAGGTCTTCAAATGGCGTAGAATGCCCATGATTGGCGACAGGTAAAGTTTATGCTTCCTTCCATGAAGTGAGAAGGGTTTCACTTTCGTGGGGGAAATCATATGTCTGCAGGAAGAGTGTCAGAAAAGTCTTATATATGCTAATTTTTCAATTTCTGACTGGGACAGCATCCGATCTAGACCTATAAGATTGTTGAAAACGTCAAATAACGATGATTATGTGGTAGAGGATAAAATCTATGGTCTCAAGAGCGACACCGGCCGAAACCTGAGTGTTCGGAAGCGAACTGTTCGGCGGTTCAACGATCGTTTCGGACAAGAAAGTATCGAAACTACTAGCTGTTACTTTGATGTCTGCCACCAGATTTTCGGGAACTTCATGAAGGATAGGAGGCGGCAGTGTAACATGTAGCCCCGGCTAATCCTGTTGTACAACTTGCCTACTTACTGTATTTAGGCAGGTATAATCCTGCAAGGCTAGTACAACTGCAACGGTGATATTAGCGGTTAGTTAGATTTTGCTTTATAAGGCTAAGGTTAGGGTTGTAGGGTTGGAATATGTTTAGGGCTTTTAGACTGGAGTTAGAGGTTTACGGCCAGGTTTAGTATTTTAAATTTGTAGCTTAGGTTAGTGCTTTATGCTTAGGTTTACGGTTTTGGGGTTTAAAGCTAGTTTTGACTTTACGACTAGATTTATGTTTGGGGATCCCAAGTAAAGTTAGGTTCTGGGGCTAGGACTTTGATATTAACTTTAAGAGTTATGACTAGCTCATGGAGACATGCATAACAAGTACTATGCTGACTACCAAAGCGCAGATGCTACTATATTTCGTGTAATATTGTATATTTAAAGGGATGCATGCAGGGTCTTTGGTGACGCTATAAATGTATCGATAATTTGCATATTTAGAGTCGGCGTAAAACCACTAACACTTGGAAAAACATTTGAGTCAATATACAACACAATTTGTAGCCTCAAATGCTGTTGTTGAATGCGAATTAGCGCTGAGGGAGGATAGAACATGAAGTGTTTACAAGACTGTCTGCACGTAATCTGGTCGTGAAAGACGAAGTTTGTCCCAAAAGCTGCGATTAAGCTTTCTTTTAAAATCAAAAGTGGTGCTGGCTGTCACCATCCCACTTGTTAGCCAGTTCCCTGGTCGAACCTCTTGTTGGCTGAAAAAAAAACAACTTCTTAAGTCGGTCCACATGCGTCTGTCTCCTCCAGATGAACGCGTAGATGAGTTGTCCGCGTAAACTTGGAGAGTTGCAGTGGGCAACCATAGCCAAGGCAGTCCAGAATTGCCACAGCAAGCTGCACCCTAAGTGCTTGTAAGACAGGCTGACTAAATAAGGCTCTTTCAACCTCACCTGGTACGATAAATCCTTCAGACCATCGACTGTCTTTATTAGACTGCGCTGCGGCTATTCGAGGAGACTGATGGTTTGGAGGCGGTCACCGATCGTGTCACGGATGTCGCTCGTCCCGTTGTGCCTTCGGGGTCTCTCTTTCTCGATCCCAACCAGCAGTGGCGCTTAATATAGGGCAGAATAACATTACCGACAAAGACAACGGAGACTTAAATAACTGCTTCTGGCTTATTAGCCCTGGTCAACCAGTGATATCCAAACCCGAGTTGTGGAGCACCTTGGGCTGGATTCCGTGACCTGTTGGTAAGAAGTCCAATGCCCCGAAACCATTGTATATTCCCGATCGCAACCGACAGGTCAGCGAGTCCTAGGCCCAGTGGTCATGGGCGTTGGACTTCTAGTTAACAGGCCGCGGGACTGAGCTCCAGGTATTCCACAACTCGGGGTTGGATATGACTGACTGACGGCTGTTTATAAGCCCGAAGTAGCCATTTCAGTTCCCCTGCCTTTGACCAATATCTTTTTTTATTCTCGGTCTTCATTCTGGTCATAAGAAAGCCAAATTGGGCCTCACGGAGACGTCCAAGACTTTTACAAAGAGCGTATGAGAAAATATTTTAAATTCAGTCTTATGCAATGTGAAATATTAATTGCCTCGTGAACCACCTGCTCATCCCTTGCGCGTCCTTTGTTTGTCATTGTGCGTTTTAAAACATCTTATGTGCTTTCGTTAAAGAAATAGTTGTGTCTGGAAGGTTCTAAGTTGTAGGATCGCGCTTTTGGGTGCAATCAACTCGAAGAGCAATCTGTTCGACCAAATGCCTAGTTTGGCTATGTTCGATAACAACGTTTTTGAGTCGTAAACACAACTTACTTCAGTCTATATTGTTATATCGTTGGAAAACAAAGCAGCTTCATAATACAGCCCACTGGGTTATTTATTCATACAAATAACGGAGAGTAGCGGACCTAATACGGAACCTTATGCGTCGCCCCTTTCCATCGTTACTCATTCTGAGCTAGAATTGTGGACAGCGGCTCTCCGTACACTAGGGCGAGAGAGCTCTCAATCCATTTAAACGTCCCTCTTTGGATTCCGGCCCCCTAAATCCTCCCTCTGTAAATTAAGTCGGTGCGTTGCGCTACAGGTCTTTATCGATTTCTCACAAAAGTATTAACATTTGTCGCGTGATTGACCACCGCCAGCTCACGAAGACACGCATACCGGATCCCATGCTGACTGCTAACCTGCATTTACTGCACTTATGCATAATTTTCTCTTCCTCTTAATTTTACTTTTTACGTCGCTTTTTACGTGTTCTGCCTCTGTTTTGTTTTGAGTTGTTTTGTTTTTTTCGTCTCCTGTTCCTCTGGTTGTCTTTAAATTGATTTTAGTCTGTCAGCTGCGTGTAATTAGACTAAACAGCAGTTCCGCTTTTTATATTTCTACATTGTACGCTCAGATTCTCATTGGCTGTATGTGCGCCTAGATAAGATACTCATATAAGTGCTGATAGAAGCGAACAGGCGAGTTCCAGGTAGCAGTTCAGAAGATGAAGATGCGATCACTGGAACAAGAAATTTATTTGCCTGACGTTTCGGATCCTCACTCGAATCCATCATCAGAGACATTCGCAGATAAAGGTGATGGTGGCACCAGGAGAACAGTATTTATAGCACGTGGCTGCCCTGGGACTGTATGCGCACTGCAATTAACAGTTCTCGCAATCACCGCTGGGGTCGTAATTGATGCGGTGGTGGCTTGTCGGTCCGAGTCCGAGTCGTTAATTGCCGCGATTTCGTCATCCGTGCTGGATGCTGGTGTGACGATTGCTCGGCAAACTGGCTCACTGTCACCGTGATGATTGCTCGCCCACGCCCTCCCCACGTGACTGATTCTACTGCCCATGGAAAATCGCAGTTCGGTATAGGGTACCGGGAGGTCATTGTGCTTGTTGATGGATTGCGGGCCTGAGAACCATGACTCGAGCAGCTCGCGGCTCACGCGGTTGTCACCCCTTGCAAGGATTTCGGCCTCTCGGAATTTGAAAATATGGCCGGGTCCCGTCGAGTGTGCCGCCACCTGAGAGTTAGCGTCTCCCCGCCTCACTGCTGCTGCGTGCTCGGCAATTCGCATACGGAGTAATCTCCCAGTTTCTCCGACATAATTACTTTGTCCGCAACTACACCAGATCCGGTAAATGACTCCAGACGTTTCCTGCCGTGGCAGCGGGTCTTTTGGCCTCATGACTTGGCGCCTAATGGTTGCTTCCGGCTTGTGTGCAACCCCAACTCCAAGTGGAGTGAGAAGACGACTGACGGCTTCCGAGACGTTCTTCACGTACGGAAGAGCCCGCCAAAATTTGGGGCCGGTTGGATTTGGTCTCTGGTGTCCTTTTCGTATGCACTGGTTGACAAAATTGCGCGGGTAGCCATTGGCCCTCATAACCCGTCGAAGATATTGTAATTCAGCAATCTTGTCTTCCATTTCACTGCAGTGCGTCTCAACGCGCCGGTATAGCGCCCTTACGCAACTGCGTTTTTGACTGATCGGGTGGTTGCTATTGAAGTTTAGTATTTGCGTCGTATTTGTCGCTTTCCTGAACACTTTGGTTTTTAGGCCACCACAATCTTTGCGGCAGACGAGGACATCCAGGAAGGCCAGCTGGTTGTTTTCCTCCTCCATCGTGAATTATATGTCCGGGAAGACGGCGTTGAGTTGTTCTTTGAACGCCAGCACCTGATCCCGCTCGATGACGACGAAGGTGTCATCCACATACTGAGCCCAAAATTTAGGTCTGTGGTGTCGGAAAACCAGCGACTCCAGCCGTTGTAGGACCGCCTCGGCTATGAGTCCCGAAATCGGCAAACCCATTGGCGTTCCCTTTACCTGCTCGTAGATTGTTTCGTCGAACGTAAAGTACGTCTTGAGACGGAACTTCAGGAGCTGGATGATTTGGGCGTGTCCGAGGCGATTCTCCGTCTCGTCGTACTTCTCTCGTAAGAGTAGTTCGATTGTCTCGACTGCCAGGTCCTGCGGGATAGAAGTAAAAAGGGACGTGACATCAAAGGAAACCATGATATCGTTTGGCAGGAGACTTACTCCTTTAAGTTTCTCCATGAATTGAGTTGACGAGCTGACTGTGGTGTTCGAATCAGAGGTCAGAAAATTGAGACGTTGAAACAGCCACTTTGTCAGTCCGTAGGTTGGAGTGCCCTTTAGTGATATGATAGGCCGGAGAGGAGCGCCCTCTTTGTGCACTTTTGGGAGACGGTAGAATCGGGCTAGTGCGATTTTTGTTACTTCTTCGCGCAGTATGCTGTATGCCGTTTTCTTTACCTCCACCCACAAGACCTCTTTTACCATAATTTCCATAGTACAGGCGGCCTTACTTCTCGTGTTGTGAGTGGGTATACCTACGATATCGCTACCGATGAGATTCTGTGCTCTTTTAAGACCTCTTTTTGCGCAGGAAAAGAGCTTCGCAATATTCACCTATTGGTTTACGGCACACATGGTCTATTGGGCTGGCTGTTTTTTTTACTTGGATAGCCTCTTAGCCCAATCAGAAACACGGTGGATCAAGGACAGAGTCGAAATGTCGTATGTCAGATGAATACGGGGGGAGTGCCTAAACAAGCCTCGACGAAAAGACAGATGAGGGAAAACCTTGGCACTGACATTAACCTTTTTCTAACAGGAAACGAAAAAAAGAGATGTGTGCATCCAAAACCTCACAAGATTTAGCAGTGCGAAAATTCAGACCCGAATTTAGGAAGAAGTTAGACCAACTTTGAGAATTAAAGGTTGACAGTAATTCTTCCAAATGGGTCGATCGTCAATCAGCAAAAAGGCTTTATTTTTGTGGAAAGTGTTAACGTAGCAACAACTATGTCATAGTCAGGATGAACATGTTTTCCAGGTTAAGGAGCCCCTCGAACCTACTGGTGAGGCATTCATGCTCCTGCGAAGATCAAGACTTCTCTTACTGTCTCATATACCTACAGCAACTCCTCTCTGGCTTGTGGCAAACGTTTCGAGGGTGGCTGTTGACATAGGTTCCCAATAGAATCTCCCCAGGTAGATCTTGTTATTGGCTCTTTTCTCGTCAGTAAGTTCATGCCACAGTATCTTTGGTCGCCAACTACTCGTAATCTGCTTGGCCATGAAGCATTTCCGTCGCTTTCTGGAAGGTTGTGACTTCACTATTTTCACGGACCGTAAGCCGTTGGCGTTTGCCCTTCGATCACACTCAGACTCATATAGTACAATGGAGATCGTTAACCCTCTCTACCTCTCATAATTCCTCGTCGAAGTCCACCACATCGATAGTACGAAAAATTGGGCGACTGACTTGCTGTCCAGACTTTGCCTCTCCGTACTCCAACTCTTACGAAAGGTCTAGTTTGCTGTCATTGTGACATCCCTTATGTCAATTTAGATTCTTATTGTTTTGCTACTTACCGTTTGTTAGTAGCCAGACTTTAATCATACCAGCCTGCCTTTGTCTCCGTACCACTATTCGTCGATTCTCGTCGTTCTTTGTTTATTGTTCTTTGTCCATTGTCTATTGCTCTTCGTCCCCACTCGCACTTTGGCGTCATTCGCTGACTGCTCATCTAATCACCTCGATTGTACGTCCACTTTTTGATTTATTCCCCGCCTTATTAACTCTATCGTGCTCCGCTAATCTTACTGTTTATTGCAATAATGCCACAACGAATAACCGAGTTATCCCGACTGTCTTCTGATATAGCTTTGACCTCGGGTGCGTCTGTTCCGGTGAATTAACCAGCACTGAATCGAAAAAATCTAAAGAATACTAACAGTCATGATGGCTAAACAACTTATCACTCGTCCTGGTGACGGGTCGGTGGTGCTGACGCAGTCCTTTGTGATTTCTTACCATCTCTTTGTACCCGCCTCAGTACATCTAGCTGTTTTTCAAACTCTTTATGAACTACCACACTCTTAACTTCGAGCTCCTCGCGGAAAGGTTAACTGCGCCTTGAATGAAAATGAGCACCAAGGATTAGACGCAGGCGTGTCTGAGTTTTCAACGGCACAATGGTAGTGGATTGTCAAGGTGTTACAATTTCCATAGGCCGCTACATGCCTATCACAGTTGGCAGCTCCCGAGTGCATCACGGCTCGACTGGCCAAGTGTTGAAGTACGCCGTTGACACGCAGTTGCAATGCGCCTGTATGCCGGTCAAGATGATCGGCTCCCACGCTCATCGCACGCCGCCGAGCAGCCCTACTTCACTTTTTTGGCTTTTAGGATATTCAGACAACAGCCTGCCCTACAACGGCCAACGCCCGGTTGATCGCACTGTGTGCTACATAGAACCCGTTGAACTGCTCTTGCCGCCTGGTCTATCGCATTTATTCGTTCAAACGACACTGAAGTCTGATTTGGCGTGCAGCGCGGCTGAATTTGTGTTTAGGACTGGCATCTGACTGCCAAGTAAAATGGCCACTCAGCCTCTTGAGACGCTAACGAGAGTCCTTGCACTCTGTTTAACCAATATGTACTCTTTACTCGTAGGTTGTGCCAATCGTCCATCCAACGCTAGTGGGGCCTTTGGTGTTTGATTCTCACAGTCGTTTCATGCCGCAGCCGACTTAATTTTAAGGTATCAGTCAATGGCGGACGACCTTACTCTTCCTGAAGTCTGCTGTGTTCTATCTTCCGACTCTAGGAAGTCCGATAACTTACTTGAGGCCCTAAATATCGGCATGTGGAATCGGTCTGTTAGTTTTCCCGCCCAAGGATCAAGCAAACCAGTTCAAATGTTATGTCAACATTATTAGCCTCGATCAGTGTCATCGTTAGGCCCAGGAATTCCAGCAGGGATGCAACCAATAAACACGGGAATGGATTGCTCATGACGCTGCATTTATCGGAGGTGCCAAACACCACGGCGAGGTGGTCGTTGCTGTCCACAACATTCCGGTTAGTCTTTAAGATTCATCGATGCAGGCATACACAAACGCAGGCCGCGTAAGTCATGGCCAGTGAATCCCTCATACGTCTGGGCGGCATTCCGACGACCAAAGAAGTAGTGACAGTAGTTTTGCGAATATCCTCCGGGGTGACAGGTATCTGGCGGATGGTACATGCCGGGCCAATCTTGGGGAAAACCGCCTCGTGGAAGAGGAATCCGGCAACAACGGGCCACAAAACTGGTGGACGGTCTCAGGATTCTGTCATATCCAGAAAGACTGATCCAGCTAAAATTTTTCTCCCTATCTAATAGACAAATGAATTGTGACCTGTTATGGACATTCTGCATTATCCACGGGTATGAATGTTCGCTCAAATCTGAAGACTTCTTTGACTTCACGACCATCAGCCACCTGCGTGGTCATCCGTAAAAATTCGAGCGGGAGCTTACACGCCTAGACCATTGGATGTTTTCATTTAGTCTGCGTGTTATTTGACCGTGGAACTCACCCCTAAGTGAAACAATGACATATGATACAATGCATTTATTCAAAAGGCAGCTGAATCGTTTGATCTTTAATAAACGACGACTCTCACTGCAGGACTATCTGCGGCCAGGCATGAATTTTCTTTCCTGATTTTATCCCTATGTAACACGTCCCTGCATGTTTAGGGAAATTCTCCCTCGCAAACTACGCAAATGGCTGCACCTTATGCTGTTTGTATGAAATTGCGCTTAAAATTCCCTATGTACATGGAAAAGACCGCTTGCCGCGGCCTTCGTAGTTCCACACTGCAAAAACGTTTTCCGTAGACAAATAAGTTACTGGCAAAATGTCAGTAAGATGTTCACTTAACGTTTATATTGCGTGCATCGTTTCCAATAGTGTCATCAAGGACACTACTTATTGCCCTAGAATATACTACTACCATAACAAACTCACTAAGAAGAAGAAGAAGAAGAAGAATTTGGAAACGATCGAGAACAGTAGCGTTGCGTGCACAAAAGTCGTCAAAGGGTATCCAGTCACCTGTTGTCGCCTTCGGCACCATGTACAGAGGGGACGATTGGGGACTCTCGGGCGGTCGAATGATGTCGAGTTGCAACATGTGTTCAAACTCCACCTTCGCGGCATGCAGACGGACCGGCAATCGTCGTCAAGAGGACATGGGACGCGAACATAACGTTCAACGTCCTGCTGGACCTGGCTAGTAATGTTTGGGTATTTGACGAGGGACCTTCGAATAGGTTAAGCTATATCTGTATCCAAGATAAATATGTTTCATGAAGTTGTACAGGAAGTCAACCCGCGTTGACACAGGATATCCGTACGGCCGAAAAGTCGGGCGCACTGACAATCCACAAAAGGAGTAAATTCGCCGGAATGTCAGCGACAAAGGCTGTATTAAGAACACCGACAATCGTGAAGATCCAGAAAGACGAAGATCGGTGGTCACTGCGAGAGAACAGATTAGAAACCTGGGAATGAGTGATCAGTTGACGGCTGGTAGATGAAAACCAGCTTTCGAGAGGCGGCGGATCGCTGCAGATGACCGCACCACATTGATATTGCCTTCGGTTTTCACAAGAAAGCGTTTATGTGGCAGATTGTCGAGGAGGTAGGAGTTGCGATCATAGCCAGAGGAAAAAAGAGATTAACTGCGCTGGTCTTCGGCTCCGCTTCGGCTCCGTTTCTAGATGATAAAAACGGAGAGAGAAACAGCGACCAGCATAAACACAGAATGTGGTGTGAGTTTAGCAAGTGGAAGGAGTGGTGAGCTGTGGTGAAAAATTATGCGGGAGGACCCTGACGGGGTACGCCTTGAAATGAAGGCTGCCTGTTACTGGAGCTGGGCTGTCCCTTGCACACGTTTCGCCTCCTTGGATTTTCTTTTTCGAAAAACAGTAAGAAATTATTTTGGAGCTTTTCGTGATTTTCTCTAACTTTCGAAATCAAACAGAGCACTGACGGTAATCAGTCAGATTTGGTATCAATGATGTGCTGCTGAATAGGCCTACTGGGCTGTAGAGGAAACGATCTAAAATAGATGCTGGCAGCAGTGCATTAGATAGAGCGGCAATGCCGTGAAGGTCCACTGGCACTATTGTTTTAATTGTTCGGCCTTTAACACGACCTTTGTAGGCGCTGTTTTTGTTTTAATTCACTCCTTCAACCTTTGGATTCATCGACCTTTGGTTCTGGGGTGTTTTGATTGTGCGGGAGTGCCCGTGGTGCTAGCCGTTGGCAGGGCGTTGTGTACCCAACCATGGACTTAGGTGGGATCGTCTGTGTAAAATGTAGAAGAATGTAAGTACTGCGATTTTTGCCACCTCTCTTTATTTGATTGTGACGGAGTTTAATTTTTCGGATAACCTTACTTGATAGAAAAAACTTACTATTCGACGATTTAGAATACCATTGTATTC